ATCTTCTCTATGTCTTCTACAATAACTCAACAATAGATCCAATGGTGGTCTCCATTTAATTCCATGTATAGCAAGTTTTAACACATATTCATTTAGTTGTGAAACACATCCCTTTAGTCCTTGTTACCCTCCAATTTTGTAAGCAGCGGTTTCAGTTGTTCATTTCAATTTTCATTTGTCCATGTTTTTGTGAGTGGGAATGGATATAAATCTATTTATGATGCTTTGTTACTCAATGTTGAATTTTAGAGTTCTTTAATAAGGTGACCAACATCCAAATTAAAATAATACATTTTTTCTCGACCTATACTAGTGGTGGTAGTAGTATTTGCTTTATTTGTGAGGTGTGCAAACTTAAATCCACAAGAAGTGTCTGTCTCTGTAAATATTCACTTTTATCCACCTGGAAACCAGATAATGGGCCAGTATAACCCATTTGCCAGCTATGGCTCCTCCTGGATCCTTTCAGCCGCTGACTTTTAACTGCCATTCATCTCTGATTTTTCTTCTGAGAAGCAGATCAATTTTATGTCTATTTCCTGCTCTTGAGGGAGACAATGGGATGCACATATTTTCATACTTTGTTGCATTGCTCAAATATCTTCTATGCCCTCTCATCTTATGTCCCCTAGAGGTCACTTCCAAAAAGAGAATAAAAGTTCCCCTTCATTGATTCTAGTCCTTTTCTGAATTCAGAAGGGAAGTTCTATAATAGATATAGATAAGTTTTACTCCAATAAGCTCTCTTCCGGTTAATAAAATGTCTTACTACTCCATTTAGGGGTCCTTTGTCTTCCAGTCATATGAGGTCTATATTTTCAGACTATTCCATTAGCTATTGTGGATATGGTATTGTTCATATGGTATTGTTATTGTCTTTATATGGTTCTTCTGCGTAGTGACTGTTCTGAATTCTCTCTAGGTCAAATGCTAACAATGACTCGGGAATAGTATTTCATCACTTTTACCTCAGTTTACTCATCTACAGAAAGAAAAATCTTACTAAATGATTTTTGCAGAGTTTTCTAGCTCTAGACTTCCATGATCTTATAATATTAAAAAACTCTGGACATATATCTATTCGTATTTAATGTACACAGACCATAGTTTGTGGTGTGTGTGTTGGAGGTGGGGGCTGTGTTTGTATGTGTGTGTTTGTGTCTATGTGCATACATAAATACTTTTTTGCTTTTTAAGTAAATTGTTATTTCTGAGAATTCAAGCATTGTACACAAAATGTGACATCTACTAGAAAATTACAGTCACAATCTAAGTGTTAATATCTAAAATATAGCTTAATAGACTTTGCTAAGACACTTTAATTCAGTGTTCTTTCTTCCCAGTAATATCCCAAACTATCAATTCTGGATTTATTTTTCACTTTTTTGGCCTTAAACATATAGAGTTGCTTTTGTCCCATGAATCTATTTATTTTATTGCTTATCTGTATTTCTTTTCATTTCAGAAAAGCTTGAAAATGGCGTACTGCATAAAATTAATTTTTCAAAAAGAATAAAGATAAGTAAGCAAACAGTTAAATCCCAATGCATTTAATTCATAGTGACTATCCATTTTATTTCATTCATAATATCTAGGTCATTTTTCAATTCTAGCATTTCATTTTAGTAAACATCATTTGAATTATTAATCTCGTACTTTGAATTAACTTTGGTAGATATATTTGAAAGTAGGAAGCTCCCACATTTCATGAAGTTTGTTTGGTGAACATCTGCCCCTGCTCCTAGAAGTTATGTGGGGAGGAGAATGTTATTTCATTTGTGAGCTTTAGTTCACCCACAGTCTATTCCCAGCACCCCTCTTAATTGGGTCTGTGGGACACTGTCCCTAACGCACCGGAAGTTTCTCCATTCCACAGATCTCTCACTCCAACTTTAAATTGCTCTGGGAAATGGGGAACAATTATAATAACTGTTGCATAACAAGTATTTGCTGTTCCATATCTGTGGAATCTGACATCTTTTGTTGAACCTGACTTTAATTCATAATGCTGACATAAATGCTAGGATATAGTACCTGGTTCTCCTAGGAGGGGGACATAATTTATCATTGTAAAGGTAAATCCTGAATACCATGAAACTGTACCTTTTAGATTTATAATTAAAGCTATTATTACATGTGGATTTATAGTGTGAATATTATTAGGCAATACAGCTATCAATGTGGTATTACTACCAAATATGGCTATGATAATAATATTATCATTATTATGATCTGTATAGTGCTGGTTAATCCATAAGGTAGTTTCTATATGCTAGCTGAATTTTTTCTCAAAACAAACCTGTGAGAAAAGTAGGGCAGTTATTTTGTAACTATTTAACAGATGAAAAAACAAGCTACATATTAGAAGAAAAAATAAACTCAAAACTACGATTTTTGTTTCTGAATCCCAAGCACTTTTTAAGTAGGCTAACCCCATGCCATATCTGTTCAAGTGTGAATTAGGTGATACCTTTATACTTGCAGCACATAAACCAGTTAATCTCTTTATAAGTTGGCAGCTTATTAGTACTGACAGGAAGATATATTTTCTTCTTCTTTTTTTTTTTTTAACAGATTACTTGCTGCAAATAAACACTTTGTGCATATTAAAGTTCTGAACATTAATCCATAAATACTGCACAGGGAAATTGCCTAAGAGCCTAGAAAAACCCATCTATTGGGGCGGGCGTGGTGGCTCACGCCTGTAATCCTAGCACTTTGGGAGGCCGAGATGGGCGGATCACGAGGTCAGGAGATTGAGACCATCCTGGCTAACACGATGAAACCCCGTCTCTACTAAAAATACAAAAAATTAGCCGGATACGGTGGCGGGTGCCTGTAGTCCCAGCTACACGGAAGGCTGAGGCAGGAGAATGGCGTGAATCCGCGAAGCAGAGCTTGCAGTGAGCCGAGATTGCGCCACTGCACTCCAGCCTGGGCGACAGAGCGAGATTCTGTCTCAAAAAAAAAAAAAAAAAGAAAACCCCATCTATTATGTGTAGCCACCATGTTAGGTCATAGGTGTAGAGGAATGGGCAAGACAAGCAAAGGGGCTTCTTCCCCATGTCTCCTGTTATCTCACAATACATGAGAGAACCAATTTAAAGAGCTGGGATCAGAAGAAAACCAAGGGTAGCAAGACAGGCTTGGCTTAAGGTGGATTGAATTGGTTAGATAATTTCTTCCTAGGAGGGGAAGGCTTGGAGCAGATGGCAGAAGAAGCTGTCTAGGTAGCCTAAAATGCATTGTCATTACATTTGTCTGGAAGGCAAAGCCAACCGATTCGCCAGGCCTGGGCTGGAGGTCTAGGCGGGATCTGGAACATCATCACCACCTTTCCTGGTAAGTCATCATCTTTCTGTTTTCTTCTGTTTGCTTTCATGGCTGGGCTGCTAGAATGTTGATGTTCCTTATCCAGTGCATCCTCAAAGGATTTCTGTAGCCTGCTTGAGAGAGAATTTTGACCTATGCTACGAAGTACTGTAGAAAAGTTTCACAGCAAATGGGCTGTTCTAAGGCATACGATTCAATCTCCGCAATCGTGAACCTTCTTCCACGAGAAGTGCTAAGTCCTCAAGAATGAATCATTCTCCTTGTACATTTTTAACAGACTAAAGTTTCACCTGTATGAACTCCGTTTATTATTTATGTTACTCTCTGACTGTTCTCTGTTGTTGACACACGATTTCTATGTAGATTTTAATGCTACCTGTTAGACAGAGAAGTAGTGGAAGGAGAATGGGCTTTGGATTTTACCTTTGCCCGTGCTAGTTATGTAACCTCAGCCAGGTAAGCAAATTTCAAGCACAGGATCGGGCACATAGAAGTCTGCAATAGAAGTTGTTTAAGTGATTTTATTCACTTAAATAAACAAAAAGCATTTTTTTTTGTTTTGTTTTTTTTTTTTTTGTTTTTTTTTTTTCTCAATAGGTACTTCTAGTCTTAAGCTGAGGAAATAAAGATTTAAAATTTCTTTGAGACTTAATTTTCTCATCTCTAATTTGGGGATTCAACATTCATTTGTACTTCTCTTAAAAGTTCAAATGTTCTACTGGTATTCTTTAAACTGTTTCTGAAGCGAGAATCCCTCTGTCTGGTTTGGCTTCTGACTCCAAGACATTATACACTGTAGAGAAATTTTTCACTTATCACATAATAAACTGAGTGTTAGAGTAGGGGTTGAGCCTCTGCAGATATTCTCAAAACTGTTAACCCACGTGAGCCCTAAACCTGCAATTTTGGTTAACCTAAAAACTGGTAGTCATGAAAGGATGATGATGGGTTGTGTGTGTGTGTGTGTGTGTGTGTGTGTGTGTGTATGTGTGTACCAGGCAGTAATTGATAACCTAATTTAACCATCTTAATTCCTTGTGTCACATATCTATTCAAAACCTCATAAAATCAAATTATATAATGTCAGGTTTGGAAGGTAGCTAAAGTTATAGCGGCTAAACAGTTACCTTGTGCTTGGTGTTCTTATCTAATAATAAGTCCTTTACATACAAAAAGGAGTGCCATTTTTTTTTCTTCCTAACCTTTGGGCCCTTCTATATGTCTGCCTCATTAACTTTTCAGATGTGTTTCTGCTGAAACTCCCCTGTCTGAAAAGTAGGTACTGCCAATCTACTCCTCTAAAACATCAAGCTGCTCTCCCTTCTAGAATAGCCATTTCATTCTTCTCTTCCAAACCTGCCCCATTCCTTCTGTGCTTCCAGATCTGCTATAAGTTCGACATTCTTTCAGAACTCTCACTTGATTTATTTATTTCTCATTTACCTCCTCCTTCTGAGGTTACTTATAATATTCACCCTGGCCACATGATATAATTATATTCTTTATCAAATTGTTCCATGTGTAGTTTTCATATTTTTGTTATTGAATTATGAACTTTTTGATGGCAGACGTGTTGTGTCATACTTTTCCCACCCTTACTTGTGTTGGAACAGGACTGTGCTCAAGTTAGGCAATCAGTAATATCACACATATTATAGCAGTCCAGCAAAAGTTTATTCTGCTTTCATAAAATGTTTCAATAGTATTTATTTTCTGAAGTATACTGAACAGCAAAATGTGGCCCTGGAGTATGCTGGCAAACACAAAAGAATTAGGCTTTTGGTCGTTTTCCAGGTTGCTAATCCAGTCCATATAATAACACAAAAGAAAATCTATTTGGATCAGAAACATCTGGATACTCACTCACTGTAGATGAACCAATGTCTTGCTACTCAAAATGTGCCCTCATCCCAGTGGTTCAACATACCCAGGGAACTTAATAGACATGAAGAATCACGGGCCTTGCCCCAGGCATGCTAACATAAAATTTACATGTCAACAGTATCCTCAGGTGATTTATATGCCCATGAAATTTGAAAAATTGAAATTCCATCAAAGCTAAAAATTTTGGATAGTACTTTGTGAAAACAAGGTAAAATAATTTTAAGAGCTAAGCTTTAAGTTTCCCTTTTTACTTATAGGCCACATTTTGTGTTTTACATTTGAGAAAAGCAAACTAAGGATGATGAGAAGATTCATTTGCTTTTTGTAAAGTGCTACACACACATACACACAAATATGTTTGACTACTATTACTTTTTTTCAGGTTTACTCAAATGAATTCTCAAGATTAACTCTGAAGCCATGGAATAAAACAAATAGAGATCATGTATTGTTCTCCAAAGATTCTCCATCATATACCTGTAGAGCTGGTCTACACCATGGTCTTGTCATAGGAAATAGCAAAATAGTAAGAGTGGGATGTTAGAATGAGATCAACAACTAACTTTACCTTTGAACAGATGTTAAATTGCAGTGTATGGAGCTCAATTTACTATTATCAAATGTCTTCCCCATAAAAATACACATTTAACTCACTGGAAAGACACTCAGAGTTTTAGGCAGACAAACAAATGTACATGAACATCTAACCTGCTTTGAAATTCTAAACATTTCTATTAAACACTGGGTCAAAATTCCAGTTCTTGTTGAGTTGTTTTTCCTTCTTTGCAGCTCTCTTGCTGGACTTGACTAAATGAAGAAGTTAGGTTTGTCTTCTGCAATAGTCTAAGGCTTTTAGAAAATTCAACTTGGGTTGTCCTCAATAATAAAAGTCGTGTCTGAATTTACTTCTGATCCTGGGTAGATCTTCACGTATTAGATACAGGGCATAGAAACTCTCAGCATCCTAGTGTAGCTGTATTCTAGGTACAAATACTGTTGAAGATAACTCAGTGGCAGAGCTTTAAAACAGTCTCTGTTTCACTCTAGAGTAATTTTTATTCAAGTTACTTTTTACGTTTGTTGCTTGGCTGTGAAAATATTATACACTGGGTCTTCCTTTGGCATCCTGAAAGCTGGGACATGGACAAGGTAAACCAGACATTTGTGAGAGAATTCATTCTTCTGGGACTCTCTGGTTACCCCAAACTTGAGATCATTTTCTTTGCTCTGATTCTAGTTATGTATGTAGTGATTCTAATTGGCAATGGTGTTCTGATCATAGCAAGCATCTTGGATTCTCGTCTTCACATGCCCATGTACTTCTTTCTGGGCAACCTCTCTTTCCTGGATATCTGCTATACAACCTCCTCCATTCCCTCAACATTGGCGAGCTTAATCTCAAAGAAAAGAAACATTTCCTTCTCTGGATGTGCAGTGCAGATGTTCTTTGGGTTTGCGATGGGGTCAACAGAATGTTTACTTCTTGGCATGATGGCATTTGATCGTTACGTGGCCATCTGTAACCCTCTGAGATATCCCATCATCATGAGCAAGATGGTGTATGTACTGATGGCTTCTGTATCATGGCTTTCCAGTGGAATCAATTCAATTGTGCAAACATCACTTGCCATGCGATTGCCTTTCTGTGGGAACAATGTTATTAATCATTTCTTATGTGAGATCTTAGCTGTCCTAAAATTAGCTTGTGCTGATATATCTCTCAATATTGTTACCCTAGCAGTGTCAAATACTGCTTTTCTAGTTCTTCCTCTGCTCGTGGTTTTTTTCTCCTATATATTCATCCTCTACACCATCTTGCAAATGAACTCAGCCACAGGAAGACTCAAGGCATTTTCTACGTGCTCAGCTCACCTGACTGTGGTGATCATATTTTATGGTACCATTTTCTTTATGTATGCAAAACCGAAGTCGCAGGGCCTCCTTTGGAAAGACAACTTGCAAGCTACAGAGGGGCTTGTTTCCATGTTTTATGGGGTTGTGACCCCCATGTTAAACCCCATAATCTATAGCTTGAGAAATAAAGATATAAAAGCTGCTATAAAATATTTGCTGAGTAGGAAAGCTATTAACCAGTAAGACCAAAGGGATATATGAGTCTTTTACATATAATTAGCTTGCATTAGCCATTTCACAATGTATATGTGATATGGTTTGGCTGTATCCCCACCCAAATCTTGAATTGTAGCTCCCATAGTCCCCATATGTTGTAGGATTGACATGGTGGGAGGTAATTGAATCATAGAAGTGGGTTTTTCACATACTGCTCTCGTGGTGGTGAATAAATTTCATGAGAACTGATGCTTTCATTAAAAGCACAGTTCCCCTGTACCTGCTCTCTTGCCTGCCACCATGTAAAATGTGCCTTTTCTTTGCCTTCACCACCCACCATGATTGTGAGGCCCCCCAGCCATGTGGAACTGTGAGTCCATTAACCTGTTTTTCTTTATAAATTACCCAGTCTTGGGTATTTCTTCATAGCAGTATGAAAATGGACTAATACAGTAAATTGGTAATAGGTAGTGGGGTGCTGCTATAAGGATACCTGAATATGTGGAGCTGACTTTGGAACTAGGTAACAAGCAGAGGTTGGAACAGTTTAGAGAGCTCAGAAAAAGATAGGACAGTGTGGGAAAGTTTGGAACTTCCTAGAGACTTGTTGAATGGCTTTGACCAAAATGCTGATAGTGATATAGACAATAAAGTCCAGGCTGAGGTGGTCTCAGATGGAGATGAAGAACTTGTTGGGAACTTGAGCAAAGGTGACTCTTGTTATGCTTTAGCAAAGAGACTGGTGGCATTTTGCTTCTGCTCTAGAGATCTGTGGTACTTTGAACTTCAGAGAGATGATTTAGGATATCTGGGAAAAGAAATTTCTAAGTAGGAAAGCATTCAAGAGGAAGCAGAGCATAAAAGTTTGGAAAATTTGCAGCCTGACAGTGCGACAGAAAAGAAAAACTTATTTTTTGAGGAGAAATTCAAGCCTGCTACAGAAATTTGCATAAGTAATGAGGAGCCAAATGTTAATTGCCAAGACAATGGGGAAAATGTCTCCAGGGCATTTCAGAGACCTTCCTGGCAGCCCCTCCCTTCACAGGACTGGAGACCTAGGAGGAAAAAATGGTTTCCTGAGCCAGGCTCAGGGTTCCCCTGCTGTGTGCAGTCTAGAGACTTGGTGCCCTGTGTCCCAGCTGCTCCAGCCATGGCTAAAAGAGGCCAAGGTAAAGCTTGGGCCATGGCTTCAGAGGGTGCAAGACCCAAGCCTTGGCAGTTTCCACATATTATTGAGCCTGCAGGTGCACAGAAGTCAAGATTGAAGGTTTGGGAACTTCGGCCTAGATTTCAGAAGATTTATGGAAACATCTGGATGTCTAGGCAGAAGTTTGCTGCAGGGGCAGGGCCCTCATGGAGAACCTTTGCTAGGATAGTGTGGAAGGGAAATGTGGTGATGGAGCCCCCACACAAAGTCCCCTGGGGCACTGCCTAGTTGAGCTGTGAGAAGAGGGCCACTGTCCTCCAGACTTCAGAATGGTAGATCCACCAACATTTTGCACCATGCACCTAGAAAAGCCAGCCTGTACAAGCAGCTGAGAGAGAGGCTGTACCCTGCAAAGCCACAGGGGTGGAGCTGCCCAAGGCCATGAGAGCCCACCTCTTGCATCAGTGTGACCTGGTTGTGAGACATGGAGTCAAAGGAGATCATTTTGGAACTTCAAGGATTAATGACTACCCTATTGGATTTGGACTTCATGGAGCCTGTAGCCCTTTGTTTTAGTCAATTTCTTCCATTTGGAATGGGCATATTCACCCAGTGCCTGTACCCCCTTTATATCTATGAAGTAACTAACTTGCTTTTGGTTTTACAGGCTCATAGGCAGATGTCTCAGGTGACAAGATGCCTTGTCTCAGATGAGACTTTGGACCATGGACTTTTAAGTTAATGCTGAAATGAGTTAAGACTTTGGGGGACTGTTGGGAAGGCATGATTGGTTTTGAAATGTGAGGACATGAGATTTGGAAGGGGCTGGGGAAGAATGATAGGGTTTGGCTGTGTCCCCACCCAAATCTCATCTTGCTCCTCCTTTGATGTCTGCCATTATTGTGGGGCTTCCCCAGCCATGTGGAACTGTGAGTTCATTAAACCTCTTTTTCTTTATAAATTACCCAGTCTCAGGTATTTCTTCATATAAGTATGAAAATGGACTAATACAATACTTGTATTAAAAGATCATCTTGTGTACCATAAATATGTACAATTTTTATCATTTAAAATTAAAAGAAGAAGCATAGAAATGGCATTATTGTGCAACTATTGAGGATCTTATCTGATAAAAGCAAAATTATAGGGAGAGATTTTTATTCTTTGCCCTCACTACCTTTGATCATCTAGAATCACTGAGAATAGTAATCTGCTGTTACTGAAATTCTAATAGTAAGCAGATTCTAATGGGTTCTGACCCAGATCTCATGAAGACAATAAATTCCTTCAGTTATTTTCTCTGGCAATATCCAAACTAAGTGTATCTGGTGTATTTGTGGCAACACGATAGAAAACATCAAACAAAAGCTTTGAAAATAGATGACAGGAGTAGAAATTCAAAACTACTTTAATAGTATCAGCTAGATTTATTCATGTTTTTAAAACTGTAGTTTCCTTATTTCCAAAAAGGGAGTAAATAAACCATGCTCCTCCCACTGTTATTGTAAAGATTCAGTAAGTTGCACAAAATACCTGACGTAATGTGCCAACTTCATTTTAGTTTCCTTTGTAGAGAATGTTCGGATTGACTTTTCCTATGAGTCCCAACTGAGGAACTGAAGTAAGGACTCCAAAGTGAAGACAAAGGATACTAGCTAGCACATCTTATTTGTAAGCCACCAATTATTTGGGTCCATATATCTTTCATAAATCTTCCTACCATTGTCAATCACCATACCTGCTTGCTCATTCTCCTACATATTTGTACAAAGAAAACATCAACTATGAATCCTGTGGAAGACTGGAAACACTGTTCTAATCTAAGTCAAGTAAGAAGGTACTGCAAAAAAGCCTCTTGAGGTTTTGGGTGCCTACAAAGAAAGAGAAGCTGACATCTGGCTTGGTGAATGGGGCTTGCTGAGCTTTCCCTCTCTAGGCTGTAGATAACAGAGGAACAGGTCAACAGGTCTAGAAGAGGGCTGGAGGATGAGTATTTTAGGCTGAAAATAATCGGAAGTGTTTGGGACATCAACAAGATAAACCAGACATTTTTGAGAGAATTCATTCTCCAAAAAGGCTGAAATTAGTGACTGGGATAAGAAAACGATTTCATTTTACATTCCAGTGAGTTTAAACTCTTCAGTAAACCTATTACAATCCTTTTTGTTTCTTTTTCTGTGAATTCTTCTGACATGGCCAAGCACAGAACATCCTTGCTGCACATCGTCAGTCATTTTTACAGCTGGTTTTAGCCTTAATTTCCTATGTAAATTTCCTTTTTCTATTGGTTTTAGAGCCACAAAATGACCCCTGACCTCCTACATGGGGGTTTATGCCCAGCCAATCCACTTCCTTGGTTTAGGCTTAAGTGATCTAGTCACTGAAGTCCTGCTGCACTGTTACTATCCTACCAGGAAGCACGGGCTGTATAATAAACCTCCGGCTGTGGGTCCCTCCTTTTACTTAACTTGAATCACACTGGATGCTGGTTTTGGTTCGATTAGGAGAAGTGTGCACCACACTCTGTGGGTAAGGCTTTTTAACTTCTGCCCATTCCCACTGGGATGAGTCCTACATGTTGTTCTGACCCTAGTTTAGTTTTTTCCCAACTTTGACTTATGGCACTCAGCTTTTAGGAACATGTCAGTATGACAAGGTCCTGCTTCTGTTGTCTCTTAAGCACTTTATTATTTTTTTTTTTTTCCACACGGGGAAGAGAGCCAGCATCTCATGTCTGTGTTAATATCAGATTGAATTATTTATCTATAAAAGTTGGTTCAAATGCTTTCCACTGCTCTACAAAAAGTTGGTACAGTATTGTTCCAGTTTAGACAAGTTCTATTCATGTTGATGAATGTTCAGAAAATTAACAGTTTTAAAACTAATCAGTCCTCCCAGAAAATTGAGAAATCTCAAAATATTATTACACATATGAATTTGTGGCAAATAATAAATATTTTAGAAAATTTCAAAAATTGTGGAGAAGTACATAAAAGTAAAAAATGTTCATGATTGCTACCTCCTATAGCCAACAACTGTTAAAATTTTATTATTCTCTCACTAATTTGGAGTCATAAAACTAATCAGTTTTTGTTATGTACCATGAACACCTGGAGTTACTATTTGGAAAGTATTTTTTAAATGTGTGTGCAACTTTTTAGGTTTTTACAGAATAAATTTTAGAAAATTAAATTATTATGGAAATTGATATAAATTTTTAACTTCTCTTGTTAAGTTGTATCCCCTCCCCTAAATTATATCATGCTTCGTTAATGATACTTTAAGGGCTTCCCAATATTTTTACATGTCTGGGGGGTGGGTGGGTGTGTGTGTGTGTGTGTGTGTGTGTAAACATTTAATTCTGGAAAATTTCAGGTAATAAAAGAAAAATAATTATTTAAACCTCATGTGCCACTTATCTTTAATTAGGAGCTCATTTTTTAAATTATTATCTGTACTTAGTTATCCCCTTTCTCCAGATTATTTTAAGCAAGTACTGGAAAAAAATTATCTTTTGTTTTGAAATAATTTTAGACTTACAGGAAATTGCAAGAATCACAAAAGAATTTCCTTTAAGCCTTCACCCAGAATCTTCAGATATTAACATCTTACCACATTTGTTTTATCATTTCTTTCTCTTTATATATACACGTATGTGTGTATATTATATATATTTATTTATATACAGCTATTTGAGAGTAAGGCATAGGTACTTTGTCTCTTTACTCCTTAGTATTTTACTCAGTCTTCTTAGCATCAAAGACATTCTTTGACCGTAACCATAATACAATTATCATCATATAGTTACAATACTATTATTGAATTTAATGGTCAGTAAATAACAACTCTGTGCAAAACCTAGCCCACTACCTGTATTTTTGTGTCCCCCAAACTAAGAATTATGTCTACATTTTTAAACTGTTGAAAAGAATTTTCAGCCTTTTTGCGCTGGTTTCTCCCCATCTCCGTGGATTTATCTACCTTTGGTCTTTGATGCTGGTGGCCTTCAGATGGGGCCCTTGAGTGGACGTGCTATTCCTTTCTGTTTGTTAGTTTTCCTTCTGACAGTCAGGTCCCTCTGCTGCAGGTCTGCT